TTGTGGAAATCCCTTCTGGCTCTAAACTTTCCAGCCAACTTTAATCTTCAAAAATTTAAATGCAATGTCAATTGCTATCTGCATTCCTCTTGATTCCTCTTCTTTTGTTCAGTTTTTAATTCTTCCATACTCTGTAACCCCCTTTGTGTTTTAGTGGCTTGACTGCCTTGCATGGGGGGAAATCGATTAAAAAAATTAAACAGATATTTTTAAGAGTTTGAAAATAAAGCATTTTTGATAATCGGTTGCACTATACACATGCAAAACATTCAGGTATCGGACTATACATGAAGTCGACATATACACGAGTATATCAGGTAATACACTTATTATTATCATTATTCTGAAAATAATGTCTGATTTTAGAATCAACTTTTGTTCCTAAATTGATGTATTTAAAGAGTTTAAATCAGTCAACATATGAACCCTTAATATCTATTCATGTCTGCTATCGAGTTACAACATTAGTTTTGCATTTACGATAAAACTCTAAATGTTTGGAGGCCAAGAAATCTTTGAATGCAGTTTCTGCATCTTCTTTGCAACGAAATATCTTTAGGCATAAAAACTGTCAAGATGTTTGAAAAAGTAGAAGGCATTGAGCAAGAAATCAGGGGAATAAGACGGATGTGGCAAAGTCTTGTATCCCAAGTCGAGCAGCTTTTTCAGTGTCATCCTGGTAATATGTGGCCCAGTATTTCTTGAAGCTGAATTGGTTGTCGTCAATTAACTAGTAACGGTTGTATTATACTTAAATGAATGTGCATTTCATCCAGTTTTTTGTCATTAAAATTCAACAGTGATGCTTTGGATAGAAAGCTGTAATTAATAACTCCAAGTCGGAGCACCAGATAGTCACAATAACCTTCTCTTGGTGCAATTTAGGCTTTCGGAAAATGTTTGCGTCTTTTCTCACGATCAGGTCATTTAGCCGATCGTTTGCGATTACCATCAAAAAAACGTTTCTCATGAAAATTCGCTCAAGAAATGGAACATTCGAATTTCGCAGATGCAGCATAGAACACCCTCCAAAATGTCAAACTCTTTAACATTCAGTGAATTAATGTGAGAACCATTTATCGAGGTTGTTGACTTTGATAATTTTCTTGAGATAATGTTGAAATACATTTTTCTTCATATAAACTACTCCTCAACGTAACCTTCTGCCTTGAGTGGCCTACGGCCCTTGTAAAGGGTGAACCTTTAAAAAATTTAAAAAAATAAGCATTGAATCTAAATTCATAAACTTTCGATATAGCTTTGAATGTTTTTAATATTCTAATTTTACTTTTCAAGGAAAACAATCGAAAATAGACAGGATCGGCGTTTACAATCATTTTACCCAGAGGCACACATCTAGAAAAACAGAAGAAAAACGGCTACGCTACAAGAAAACAAACCGAAAATATTCAGCAGCAGCAAAGTCAATGATAGTGCCAATTTGAAAGACAAGGAAAATTCTTACTTCGTAATTTATGACCTGACGTAACATTGGGTGTAGATTAGCGAACGTCGAAAGAGCAGACGATCATAAAAACAGAAGAGAAAGAGAGAGAAAGTGAAAAAGAAGAAATGACGAAAAATAATAAAGTAAACGAAACAATTCTGTTGAAGACAAGAAATGCTTCCAGCTGGAAAAAAATGCTTGTCGCGAAAGTTTAAATGAAATAATGGAATGTGGATTATTAGGCGTTTAGGTTTAAGCGAGGAAACAGTTTCGTAACTGGATGATTTGACACTGACATAAATACGGGTGAGCAAACTATTCAAATCTTCTGTCTTTCTCCATACATAACAATTCTCCATTTCCCTCTCTCCCGCACTTACTCTCGATCTTTCTATCGCTCTCACTATCTTTCGATCTCTCGCTTACTCTCTCTCAGTATCTATCTATCTATCTATCTATCTATCTATCTATCTATCTATCTATCTATCTATCTATATATGTGTGTGTGTATACATATACATATATATATATATATATGTGTGTGTGTGTGTGTGTATGCATACGTAATAGATAGATAGATAGATAGAGAGAGAGAGAGAGAGAGAGAGAGAGAGAGAAAGAGAAAGATAGATAGATATATAGATAGATAATTTCAGAAAGTGCTCAATATATAGTCGTTATAGCAGTGTTCTAAATATCATCTCAAAATATAACCTTACCAAGCTACCACAATTTCGCTCCCAGGATCTTCAGGCTTATATATTTATTTATTAAACTCCTTATTTGCTTATTAAATTGCTTATTTAGTTATTTGTTTATTCATTTGCTTATTTGCCTATTTTTTTTTTGAATTTATTTTTGAATTTCTTTTATATATATATATATATATATATATATATATATATATATATATATATATATATATATTATAGTGAATATTGAATTCAACACTCAGAGGCGACAGACTGTTTTTCACGCTAAACGCATTCATCAGTCCTGATGATTGCGTCTAGCATGAAACAGTCTGTCGCCTCTGAGCGTTGACTTCAATGTTCACTTTTATATTTACATACGAATTATCTCTGATATTGAACACTCTATACCATATATACAGCAGACCTTAAAACAATATTTTTTACACACACACACACACACACACACATATATATATATATATATATATATATATATATATATATATATATATATATATATATATATATATATATAATTATATGGCGGTGTATATGTGAAATTCAAAAAATGACGATAAGGAAAGCATACATAACAGAAACTCTCAGTCAAAATTGACTGTGTTGAGAGGTGGGTCCTGAAAATACACACCTGCATATGTAAATGCTGTTTAAGAAAACGCTGATAAGATCAGGTATCATCGGCCGTTGAGTTCGAATGCCAGGACAGAATTTATTACTTCCCAAGTCCGGCTGATAGCGGCCAGAAATGGTTCTTCATTCGTTACACTCTACTTGTTAGTTACCGTGATATTGTTTGAATATTTCAGGACTTTTTATTCAATCAATCCAACAACTCATAATGCTTAAATGTATGCGTCTAATCTATCTATCTATCTATCTATCTATCTATCTATCTATCTATCTATCTATCTATCTATCTCTCTCTCTCTCTCTCTCTCTCTATATATATATATATATATATATATATATATATATATATATATATATATATATGAGGTGCTTTGAACTCTCGGCTACTGAGTCTAAATAATGCCTTAAAACACAGATTTTTCTCTGACTCTCGAAATAAATATATCTGCTCAGTTTCGTATCCTAAATATAAACAAAGGAAAACAAAAGGGCGTCAAAGCTTGTCAGATATAATGACGGTTTCTCCTAGGGGAACGCAAGTTCGAATCCTGACGGAAAGTGCATATATCTCTAGTAAAATTTCGCGAATGTTCAGGCCGGTCGACGAAAATGAATATTGTTTAATAAATAGACGGAATATAAAGTAACTTTTAAACAATAAAAATAATGTTTTTTGTAATAATAATAATAATAATAATAATAATAATAATATAGATAGATAGATAGATAGATAGATAGATAGATAGATAGATAGATAGATAGATAAACATTTCAAACGTTAATTTCGTGGACCCTCATATTTGAATAGACAGTATATTTATTTATTTTCGTCTACCGGATTGAATATTCGAGAAATCTTATTAAAGAATATATGCGATCTCCGGCAAAATAATTTTATAAAGAAGTAATGGATTTTTTATTTATTAATCAGACAGAAATCTACTTTTTAATAAATAAACGGAACGTCTACTAAGATATGAGTATCCACTGACATTAACATTTAAAGTGATAAAATTTGTCGGATTAATAAATAATAATCCATTACATCTTTAAAGATTACTTTTTTACGTTTGTATACGAAACTGAGCAGTTATGATAATTTTGATGAATCTGCGATGAGATGGACTTCACTTAATAGCACTGTTGTAAGTTTGCTTGTTCGGTAAGGACGATTCGTGGCTGAACCGTTTAAGACACGGTGTAGCTAACAAGGGCTTCCCTCTGGCCAGGTAGACACAGGTTCTGCCGGAGAACACGTAAATTTCTTTAATAATATTTGGCAAATATTCAGGAAGGGAGACGAAAATAAATACTGTTTAATACAGAACGTCTACTCAAATTCGATTATCCAATAAAAATCTGTCTGATTATGAAATAAAGGTTATATTCATTTCTTTAGGAATTGGTTTGTTTATGTTAGGATACGAAACTGAGCTTATATATATATATATATATATATATATATATATATATATATATATATATATATATATATATATGCACATTTCAATGAATAAGACATGCAAGGTGCTTTTTGATTTAGTTTTTTATACAATTTCTCATGTGATCTAATGATTTTTTTTTTTATTTTCAGATGATAAATTATATAAAAACCGACCGAATATTCTTATTATCCGAGTGCTTTCGGCTATTCATTTAGTCATTTTTCAAGGTTGAAATATATTTCATATAAAAAAATTATACTCTGTTTTAATAAATATATCGAACTCTCCGTGGATCAGTTTTAATATTTGCTAGTAGTAGGATACACCTGGATTATATACCAACGGATCTATTACGTGTACTATATATATATATATATATATATATATATATATATATATATATATATATATATATATATATATATATATATGTCTACTTATTTGGAAATCATAAATTTGATAGTATCCGGAAAGATGTCAACATTCTCAAAAAAACATCTTAAAAATCGAATAACACATTATTAAAATGAAAAGATAAATTTATCGAATACGCAGCGCTGGGTATTCGATAAATTTATGGCACAACATTGTGTTTTATATTGTAGTATAGTTTTATAATAGCATTACAGCGACCATCATCACGTCTTCGTCCACCACATTTATTTTTAAGGTAATCGTTCTTCAGGACGCTGCTGATAACGTCTCTCCACCATTTTCTTTTCTTTTCTAAAGTCTATGCGAAGTTAAATCTTGTGAAATATAATGCATTCTTCGGTTGGGTAGACTGAAATAACGTAATAGTTCAGTACCCTTTTCGTTGTTTCCAACGAAATTTTCTGTCTCTTAATGCACTGCTTAGCTTTTGGAAGGCATCTTTGGCCATACCAATACATCTTCGGAACTCAGTGCGGTACTTACCGTCCCCTGTTAGAAAACTTCTCATATATTTAAATTTTTATACCTGCTTGATTTTAGTATCCCCGACCTGTAATTTACATTTTTGGTACATACTTTTGCTAATAACCATTCATTATATCTTGTAATTTATGCTTAGTCCTTTCTTCTCGTTTTCCTTCTGTATGAGCTTTTGTAGTTTCCTTTCTGTTCAACGTGCCTCAAATATTTTAGGAGAGCCAGTTATCAATATTATTTCCTCTCCTGTGGAGGTGAAATGATAAGAATTGACCTTGTTTCAAATTTTGCGTTAAATGTCTCTATTGATATTTATTTAAACGTCTCTGATTTTCTGGCAAAATATGTAAAGATTAAGTCACCTCCCGACAAGCAAATATTCTGAACAAACATGAAAGCCAAGTATGAAGATATTTTATCTTGTTACACCCCATAAAACCGGAATTGGGTTGCCTTTAAACGTTTAGATACCTTACAATGAATCTCCTTTCACAGTCATACCGAATTTCTTAGTCTGCGTTTGTTTTCAGTTATTCTCACATTCTTTTTTTTCTTTCCTTCTCTCTTTCCTTAATTCTAACCTTTTTCCATTCCTTACTTCTCTTCATTCTTTCTTTATTTTCTTTGTATTCTGTAATTTCTTCGTTCTTTCTTTTCAGCTTTCCTTCTTTCTTCCTCCCTCTCTTCCTTTACTTCTTCCGTGGTTCCTCCTTCCTTCACTTCTTTCTTTCATCCTTCTCTCCTTTTTTCCTTTCTTTCTTCCTTCCTTCCTTACTTCTGTTCTTTCTCCATTCCTTTCTTTCTTTCTTCTATATTTTCTTTCCTTTCTTCAATCCTACACTGCTTTCTTCATTCCATGTGTGATTCATTCCTTTCATGAAATTCTCCCTTCTGTTTATCGTTTATTCTTTTCTTCATCCACCATTATTTCTTTTCTTTCTTTTATTTCATTTTTTCCTTCTTTATTCATTCGTTCCTTCATTAATTCCTTCGTTAGTCTAGTCGGTTGTTACCTCCGTTCTTTCGTTCGTTCATTCGTTCGTTCATTTATCCGTTCGGTCGTTCGTTCGTTCGTTCGTTTGTTCCGTCCGTTCGTTCGTTCGTTCACACGTTCGTTCATTCTCGTGTTCATTCGTTCGTTCATTTATCCGTTCGGTCGTTCGTTCGTTCGTTTGTTCCCTTGGTTCGTTCGTTCATACGTTTGTTCATCCTCGCGTTCATTCGTTCGTTCATTTATCCGTTCGGTCGTTCGTTCGTTTGTTCGTTTGTTCCCTCCGTTCGTTCGTTCACACGTTCGTTCATTCTCGTGTTCATTCGTTCGTTCATTTATCCGTTCGGTCGTTCGTTCGTTCGTTTGTTCCCTCGGTTCGTTCGTTCACACGTTCGTTCATTCTCGCGTTCATTCGTTCGTTCATTTATCCGTTCGTTCCTTTGGTTGGTCCTTCGTTAGGTTGTTCCCTCCGTTCTTTAGTCCGTCCGGTCAGCTGTTCGTTCGTTCCTTCTTTCCTTCCTTCCTTCCTTCATCCGTTCGTTCATTTATCTGTTCGTCCGTTCGTCTGTTCATTCGTTCGTTCATCCGTCCGTCCGTCCGTCCGTCCGTCCGTCCGTTCGTTCGTCCGTCCGTTCGTTCGTTCGTCCGTTCATTTTTCCGTTCGTTTGTTCGTCCGTTCATTTGTTCGTTCATTCGTTCGTTCGTTCGTTTGTTCGTTCGTTCGGTTGTTCGTTCGTTCGGTTGTTCGTCTGTTCGTTCATTTATCCTTTCGGTTCTTCCATCCGTTATTTCTTCCGTTCCGTCGGCTGTTCATTCGTTCGTTCATTCGTTCGTTCGTTCCTTCATTTACCCGTTCGTTTGTTCGTTCCGTTCGTCACTTACGTTCCTTCTCTATGTTCCTTCCTTCCTTCCTTCCTTCCTTCCTTCCGTTCCTCTCTTTCTCCTTTAACTATGCTGCACCATTCTCCCCGAAATACTTATTTAATATGTTCAAATTCTTTTTGTTATTTCTCTCATTTAAATCTTATTTTTGATTTTCTCTTTTATCTACTCATTTTTATACACATTTTTTTTCTCTTTCTTTCTGTCCTTTCCTGACTAAAGAAGGAATGAAACCAAAAGGTCCCCATTAAAATGAACAGATCATAAATCTTGAGGAGGAGATGAGGAAAGACATTGTTCAAGAACAGCAAAAGGCATTAAAACTCTTCGGTTCAGGGAAATGTAATGGGATTGGCAAACAGAATTTTACCTTTTTTCAGATGTTTGCTTATAGGAGAAAGAAAGCATAGAGTGAAGTGTCAGACGAGAGAAAAAGTTGAATACAGATCACATGTCGTAGAACAACACAATATAACAGCAATATTTATATATCTGAAATAGATATCAATAATTATACTATAACAGATGTTAAAATAGTGACGTACAAACACTTGAAACTGAAACATTATGATAGCTGTAAATACAAAAACAGAGGGGATGTTGTACTTTGAGTAACAGTCAGACTAACTTCATATTGAGTACATGTATATGTGACATTGCAACAAAGGTGTTTGCCGCCATAAATCTGTTGGTATATAGATGTAAAAGGTTCAATAGGATTTTTTTAGGATGTGTATAACAAACACGAGAAGGAAGCACGTATCATTTTTTGTAGTAAAAACCCTGCATTAATTCCAATAATTAAGATAATAATCTTCACTTTTGTTGATTTTGTTTAGTGGTATATCAATCTCTATGTGTTATTTAATGCCAAAATATCTAGATATTTTGAACAGACTCTTATGACTTTAACTACAGATAAAATGGCAATTCTGCTATAAATAGCTATTGTTTGTAATTCTTTTATATAAAAATGTGTGGCTGGTATTTTTACTATAAAAATATTTATTTAAGCTTTCATAGTCTGTTTATATTTGTGAGTTCACTATTTGCCTAGAGCTGGAACCATAGCAGGTGCTGCTACCCCGGGTCAGACCGGAATGAAATGTTTTTGAGAAGCAGCAGAATACACAGGATATTATCCTGGTGAGATGAGGGAAAGGTTCATAACCACGAGTCAGTCCACAGTTTCCAGTCCACCTCAGTGTATCTGTTCCTCAGTCTATAGAGAATAAATAGGTAAACACTAAGGTGGAATGGCTGAATTTGACGAAGATATGATCGAAGTCTTACAATTTACAGCAATTTATCGGGTTTCCAAAATGTCTTTTAAAGCCATTTACATTCTTGGATTGTTGTGGATTCCGAGATCAAATTCGGTCTCCAATGAATGACAAACGCAAGAATTAAATATAAGAAATAAAATGTATTTACACAATAATACAAAGGGTAATACTGTTAGTAAATGCAGAAACGCGGTTAGTAGCAATAACATATAGATATATACAGTTTCGAAGTAGGACTTCCTTAGAGTCTACTTGCTTGTAACTGTGACTTCTACAAGCGGTTACCTCACACTATTACTCTACCTCCAACTCAATCACAATCTCAGTCTTCTTACTATCTCAAATCTCTCTGTACTCTGACTGACCCTGGTTATTTAACGGCAGCAGTCCAAGTAACACTTTGGTCGAGTCCACTTATATGAAAAAGGGGAGGACCCCATAACATGGATTGATGTATTCGCACAGTTCGCCGCGCGGTCACGTGCATTTATTTGATCACGTTCAGCAGAGTAACCTGAGTGAAGGAGACTGATTTGGGATAAACCCGAAACAATTAACTACCCCAGGGCAACATCACTGAAAATGTGGCAGCAAATGGATTTCTAAACTTGTGGCTATTTGTGGCTACAAATGGATTTCTAAACTTGTGGCTATTTTTTAAAATAACTAAAACTATTGTTATAATCTAGTATTGTAATGCTGTGTTTCACTTATAATTTTACGCAAATATATTTATGATAATTTTCATTTCAATGAATAATTATATCTTCAGTTCAAATTTTGATTTAACCATTTCTGCCCTGACCACCGCTTTACCGGTAGTAGAGAAAAATGATTTAATGGCCAGCTACCGGTCAAACGGTGGCTAAACACTTGTAACTATTTTTATATCTACCGTGAAACATTACATACCAATTATTTGCGAATTTTCACTCAGGTGCTCAGGTAGAAGGGTTAAAATTTCTGTTACTTCAAGTCTCTCCTTCATCCTTGAGGGGATTGTCTAGCATTCGCTGCCATACAGGAGGATAGATAACTCATAACGGTTCAGTACTCTTTTCTTGGTTTCTAACAAAATTTTTCCGTCGCTTAACCCTTTGAGACCATCGCTTTACCGGTGGTAGAGAAAGATGAGGTAATGCCCAGCCACCGGCTAAATAGTGATAGAGAAAAATGATTTAATGTCCAGCTGCTGGTTAAAAGGTGGGTAAGCACTTGTAACTACTTTTTTTTATATTTACCTGTGAAAGATTACATACCAATTATATGCGAATTTTGACTCAGGAAGCTCAGGCAGAAGGGTTAAAATTATTCAGGAATAAAGTGTTAAAATATATTGAAACGGAAATTGCCTTTTCTGTTATTCGTTTCATCAGCACACTAATATTTTCCATAATTTTAATACTAAAGTGTGTTCCAATAACTTGGAGCGATTTTACTTGTGAATTTAGTTTAATCGACTAATTATATTTTTCTTCTTCTTTCAGATTCAACAACTTAAGACTTTGGCAATTTCAACCAGGGAAAGATTAGCAATCAAACGACGTGTTAAAATTATCTATTACGAAAATGAACGTTCAAACAGAATTTGAATGAGAAATCCCTAGGTCGCATCATCTCTCGAAACAGCGAAGTCAGTTGGCCAACACGATTGTGCGACTTGACACCTTTAGATTTCTTCCTTTAGTGTCATCTCAAAAGTAAGGTCTATGTTAACAAGCTAACAACAACACAACAGCTGAAGGATGAGATAATAAGGCATATTGGTGAGATCGAGGAGCAGCTATGCAGAAACGTCATCAAAATTTTTTACCGTCGTATGGAGGTGTATCGCCGAAGCCTTGGCGGACATTTGGGCGAAATTATTTTTCATACATAATTGCCATGAATTAAAAAACATGATCCAAAGAGAAATAAATACATTTTCACCAATAACACTGATTTAATTACTGCTGACTTTGATCCGTCTTAATGAAACACCCTTTATAAGCATTTTTGTAATGGTGTGTGTAAACACCCCAGCGGACTAACCATTTTCAGAAATCCAAGTTGACTAACGTAGGACTAATAAATTTATTATAAACTGATTTTCTTGGACATATGTCTGCATCTACACTGATTTTGCTAGTGTCACTAGAGGTTTTAAAAGGAAAAAAAATCTGGTTTTAAACCTCCACCACCGTGTAGGAATTGTTACTCGCATGTTCAGTTCATAATACTCGGCATGCTTCTTTAGAATCAAATCTTTCTTGGTACAGAGATTGCCCGGAATTCATATAGAAGGACTGATATTACATAACAATTCAGTAACCTTTTCTTTGTTTCTCTTGCTTCAAATCTCTTCTTCCTCTGTGAGGAGATTGTCCAGCATCCATTATCATATAGGGGAACTTATATTACATAACACTTCAAAGCTGTTTTCTTTGTTTCTCTTGATCCAAGCCTCTTCTTCATCTGTGAGGAGATTGTGCAGTATTCACTGTCATATAGGAGGACTGATATTACATAACAATTCAGTATTTTTTTTTTGTTATTTCAAACGAAATTTGCCTCTTTCTTAATACTTTTTTTCTTTTTTAAGCATTTCACCGCAAGCAAGGCGAGAATGCCACTAGTACGCAGAGATTGCAGAGAGTGGAAGTGAGAGAAAAGACAGAGCATATGGGGAATTGAAGAAACGAGAAAAAGAAAAACGGTGTTCAAGTCAACAGAAGACGGCGGTTGACGCTGCATTTAATTTTTTGAAAATCGTAGTTATCAGGGAAGCAAGTCAACAGAAATGAATTCCACGTGCGGGTGGTGTGAAAAAATAAATTGTTGGAGTAAAATTGGCGGTTACTATTTCAACAGTAAAAGGGAAGGACCTAGATACCAAACTAGTAGCATGATTAAATTCATTTAATGGGGGCACCATGGAAAAAAAGCTCGTTAGATAAGTTGTTATGAAAATATTTATAGAAAAGACAGCGGGAAGCCACATCACGACTGCGAGAAAGTGACTAAGTCGAGATGCCAGGTCAGGATCGATTACATTGCAGATCCTTCATTTGATTTTGTCAAGAACCTTGAGAAGAATAGCAGGAACACCAGACCAGATATGGCAACAGTATTCAATGCAAGGACGAATGGTAGGTTTGTAGATGTGCAATATGAACTGTGACATGAAAAAACCTTCTGACACGAGAAAATGAGCCAACTTGCCTTGCAGAAGATACAGCTATTGATTCAATGTAGTTGTTCAACTTGAAGCCAATTGAAAGCGTGAGGCCAAGAAGCTGCAGTGCGACGATCTCCTAGAGTCGAGCATTAACTATGCTGATGGTGGACAGGTAAGTTTCTCAATGGTGGTTAAATGAGAGCAGTCTAGTTTTGGAGGCATTAAAATTTACAAGCCCTTTCCTGCCCCAGTCAACAAATGATTTGAGGTCCTTTACAAGAGCAGCGGCCATGTTCACTTTGTCAGATCTGACGGATTTGCTACAAAGACAAGAGTAAGCGTTAGTGTGGTAGAAACAGCGTAGAATCCAGTATAGAAAAGAAAAGACTCAACGTCAATTATAATAAGAAGGAATCCATGGTTGTCTGCAAAAGGAACAGCCTAAAATACAAATTACAAAGAACAAATTCTTAAATCAAGTAAGTAAAAGATGCAGTTCAAAATCTACGTCTAGATTTTGAACTGCATCTTTCACTTCCTAGATATTTTAAATTGTTGTGCTTACTTGATTTGGGCATTTGCTCTTTGTAGTTTGGTTGTTCTTTTGCAGACAACAATGAATTCCGTCTTATTATAACTGACATTTAGTCCTTTCTTCTTGCTTTCTTTCATTCTTTTCTGTAGGAGTTCTTGTAATTTGCTTTCTATGCCTGGTACTAACACCGTGTCATCTAAATATCTTGTGTAATTAAGATTGTGGTCACAAATAATTGATTCTGGTCGAACTAATTTTCTCAGAATTGTCTCACTGCAAACCTTGAATAAGTCAGGTGAGAAGACACACCCTTGTCTTCCACCTTTTTTCTATTTTTGTATATTTACTGCATTCATTTTCTATCTGTATGCAGGCAGTTTGCTGACAGTATAGGTCCTGGATTATTCTAATATCCTTCACAAATAAGGCAAGGTTAACGAGCAGTTCTAACTGTTCTTTCTTTGAATTGGAAATACCAAAATCAAGCAAGCGCAAAAGTTTAATATATATGGCAAATGTTTTAACGGACGTGGAAAATGTGGCATCGACATCCGAAATCGAAATTGTAAGATGCTTTCCAAAACGTAAGCAAAGTATTAAGAAACAGGATTTTCATTAGAAACAAAGAACATTTTGCAGAACTGTTATGTAATGTGAATGCTGGATCTGAGACAGGAGGGATGAAGTTTTAAAAGGGTGCTAAGAATACGATGGTGTTACAGGATGAAAAGGGCGCTTATATTAAAAATCAGAAAGTGATTCTTTAAATGTCTAGGAGAGATACTGAGGAAAGACAGATTAGAGAATTTGACACTCACAGGAGATAACGAAGGTGAAGACAGGGAGGAAACAGCGAGTAATCTACGTAACGAGCTTGTGTAAATGGAAAGCAGAACAGAGGCTGATAGGGATGGTGAAAAGACAAACAATACTAAGAGCTAGAAACAACAGGAAGTTGTGAAGAACCGTAACCACTTCTTCGACAGTTTAACGGAAAAGTGCCCTTTTCTCGACACAGACGAATAAACACGTTCAAAACAGAGCGTTTTAAAAAAAAGTTACAGGCGTTTTTATACGCCTATCTTGATTCTTTTTATGCCCATTGCCTTGCAGAAGATACAGCTATTCCTGGCTTGAAACGAGTCAAATTGTCAACTTATGCTTCTGGTAGAAGAATAAGTTGACATAGCCACCGCTCGGGTACTTCAAGGTACCTCAGTTTCTTAGTTACTATATTAAAAACAAATAAAAATATTAGTCTGAAAATGAAACGCTTTTCCTAAAATAATTGAGGGAGAAGAGTTTAATCGTCCATGATTGAAAGGGAATCTATTGGTTGAAGAAGAAGAATTGCATATAGCTGTAATTGTTCGTGCTTCGTTCTCCGTCTGTTTTATGCTATGAGAAATTTTATCTGAAGTCGGGCTAAAATATCTTTTGGCAGGAATCCCCAAGTGTTTTGCAGCGGATATCCTTGTGCTGTGTTGCCGCAATGGGGGGTCGTGACAGCGCTAATGCCAGAACACCTGTCGTATTAAACAGCTGCTCTCACTGTGGCAACAGCACTGACACCATGAGCTCGTCTTGCAATTGGCACGACAACAGTTCGATCGGGAACATCAGTTACGAACCTGAAACAGGTGCTATTAAAACAGGTGCAACATTACAGGGAGTTAAAAACACACACACACACACACAACAATAAAATCATGGTTTTGATAAAAAGATAACACCAATTGTTGATACGTACAAATAGATTTCAGTCATAACAAGGACAGACCCAGGGGCGTAGAAAATGAGAAATATAATGTCTGTTACTGTATATAAGACGATCAGACACATTAGACACCACCAACAAACTTTGAAGAAAGAAATCGGAAAACGGTAATAGCCCTTCACACTATCCTCAGTTTGGGCCAACGAATAGCATATTAGCATGAAAACATGACTAATAATGACAAATTTATCACAGACTGAGAACTACTAAATTTATAGTAACTATTTAAAATGTAATAGTCAATAGAGGAGTTAAAGTCCATAATATCGTGGAAACCTAACTTTATTGCAGCCTGAGATGTACACTCATGTATGCATTCACAGTTTAGGAGGATATTATTCGAAAATATATCAGTGCCCCATCTAATTAATTGTAAGCAAAAACTTAAAATTTTGTATGAATTGCGACAAAAAAGTCAACAACGAGTATAGCAACAAAGTTCCTAAATGTTTGTAGCACAAAGTGTTATAAAAATTCTAAATTAAAATACTACAATTAGTTTTTTTTTAATTACCTAGTAGTAATTAATCTGGCGAGATAAGCTTGCTAACCATTACTCCACGTCAAAGTGCTCTGTTTTTTTAAGCATAGCCTAGATGTGGCACAAGGCCGAAATCGTGGAGCACTCAATGAAAATCGAAAAATGCTGCCCAAATACATATAATATGAATACGAGGTGCGTTCCGATGTTTTGAAACTTAACTTAAATTTCAAACCAACATAACATTCTAATCTCCTTCAAATTGTGACGAATTCATCACAAACCAGGATGTAGCACTAATTTTAATATAAATGTAAATTTCGTTACAGAAATCTGGTTAAGCTTGATTTATGCGCAGGTGAAAACATATAATAGTACTTACCGTAGTGTTGAATTCGTATTATAGCTTGAAATCCTCATCGCCGGTAATTTTCACAAGTTTATCCCAGATGCATGAATATCTTCTCACAAAATGTTGTTAATTTCAAAACACTGGACTTCTATGACATCCAAGGGCTCAGATATCTGATGAGCTGAAGCTCATACCAAACTTATAACTCCCGTCACCGATTTTGGATTTATAGGACGCAGGGTGCTTTTTAGAGATGGTTTATAGGAAATACATGCATTTTATAAGCAACAACAAAAAAAAAATCGAAACTCTGGATGTCTGAAATTTATATGGCGTTGTTTGAGAAAAGGACGCGAATGACGAGACCGACTCTTGAAGACATATATATCCAGAAACAAAAAGATAAAGTTATTAAGAAACTAGGATCTATGAGAGTGACAAAAACTGAGAAAGAATTATTTTGTAGAAAGGGCAATAAAAGAACTCCGAGGAGAGAGAAAATGTCGCTTGACGTTGAATTTAATTTTTTAATTTGTTAGGAAAGCAAGGAGCTGGTGTTCCACCAACGAGAAGTTCGAGAGAAGAAATATTAGCATAGAACTTACGGTTACATCTAGCAATTTCAATTGTAAAATGATTAGACCTATCTGCCAAACTAGTACGGCAGATAAATTCCTAAAATCTAGGTACCAAAGAGTAAAAGCTGAGTAGGACGATAACCATGAATGTACTTATAGAATAAACACAGGGAAGCTCGTTTACGGCTGTTCAAATTGGTTCATTTCGCTGTCAGTGAAACAAATTAAATTAGGAGGATTATACAAACAAAATAATCAGATTAAAATTCACCTAATAAATGTGTTAATCTCCCAATGTATTAATCTATACATACACACATGCGCGCATATATATAGTTATTATATAACACATTTAGAAATTAAAATATATAATATCGCTAATAAACCCCTGTATATGTAAGATACATAGATGACATTTTCATTATAGCTAAAAATATTGAACTTAAAAACAAATTTGAAATTCTCTCCGTCCTCAAATTTACATTAGAAATTAATATTACTAATAAAATTCTATTCCTTGATGTATTTATTGACTCCAGCACACATAAAATTACTACTTTTCTATATAGAAAACCCATTAGTATTACCTCGTGTCTTCTTAATTACAATAATGAACGCCCCCCCCAAAGATATAAGCAAGCCGTTATAAAATTTTTTTAAAAATTTAATCACATAAATAATATCTTCTTTCAAAAACATATTCTATGAAGAATTATATAACATTAACCAAACACTTGGATTCCTAATTACGTCATTGACCAACAAATTATAATGTATCTCAATAAACTTATTATTAATACCATTAACAAAATTGATAATATTAATAATAATTGTACCCATAATAGTATAGGACTTATTTGATGGCGCAATGATTTAATAATAATGTCCGTGTGCCATGCATCTTGTCCATATAGAATTTGTAAAGCTACAGTAAAATTTTGTAGGCTGGGCTATAAGGCTTTCACTGATCACCGGAAATAAATTCCAACGCTCCAATTTTGAACTTAAACTTTAAACCTATTCCCTCAAAAAACGGTAACTATATGGCAAAAAAATCTTGAGTGTTATTATTTATTATGTTAAACCACAATTTTCAAATCGAGTGCAATACAACGTTTCCAAAATCGACCTTCCCTAATTTACGTGTGTATAAAAAGATTTCGGTCTGGTATAGGTTTTCCTGATTTTTATTGAAATGTTCTTGGGAGCGCGGGAATACATTAAATAAAAAAAAAGTTAAGTGTGTTTTACTTATTTCTGAAGAAATTAAAAGATATACGACACTTGGTGTCCTTGCGTTAATGATTGGACGTCGTCCTCAAAGGTTTTGTGTCCTGTTGTCTCCTGGGCTTTCGTTACATAATCAAAAGACTCAATACAAAACGGAAATATTAAATTGGGAAAACATACTTCTTCCCGCCACGGTTTGCAAAGACATGGGATTGACTTGACACGTCTCACTTAAAAGATTCAAACGGATAATTTCTGACTTTTAACCCTTTCTCTTCATCAAATGAAATCAGTCTTTTTAAACGTAGATATGTTCATAATTAAAATATCCAAATGTTCCATATTGTTCCTATCTGTCGGGTATTTCTCTCTACACTCACAGACTTCCGAAACCCATTCTAGAGTTTTGGGACATTTTTTTTTTTAGAGAGGCAATTATAACTTCACTAACTTGTTGTACCTTTAATTTATAATTACCATACATCTAATAAGTTGACTTGACAATATAGTTGTTATTCTATATAGAAGAGGGTCGTTCTAGATGCTCTTTGAATAGACTCTACTAAACAGTGCTTGTTACAGAGGACAAGTTTGCAGAATGCAGTCGGAACGTGAAGGTAATTTGGTAAAGTTTTGTGTTAAACTGGGCAAAAATGCTACAGAACTGGATGAAATTCTCCAGACTGCTTATGGATTAACGTCTATGAGCCGAGCATTGATTTCCACTGGCACAAGAGGTTTAAGGACGGTGAAGAGGAGGTGAGAGACGATAAGCGATGTACGAGGGAGAGAATATAGACGTGGATGTCAGAACATCAGAGCTTTTTTTCGGAATGAAAATCGTCATGCATCTTTAAAAACAATCAGTATACGCTTTGGAATTGGTTTGCCAACATTACACGGGATTATTCATAAAGATTTTAACATGCGCAAAACGTGTGCAAAGTTTTGTTTTTGTTTTTTTTTCCCGGGGTGCTCATTGACGAACAGAATGAAAGACGCGTTAGTGACAGCAAGGAGATGGTTGAGGGTCATCAAAACTGTCCTTGACCCACCCTACAGTCCAAGCATTTCTCCCTGTGACTTTTGGATATTCCTGAAACTGAAAAAGAACCTCAGCAGCAGTCGTTTTGATGTCACTGAGAAGATGAAGGAAACTGGATACCTTCACTATTGTTGGATACTTTCACGAAGTGGCTGGAGCGCTAAAAACAAGTGCACTGAAGTCAGAAGATTAGAATTTGAAGGAGATTAGAATTTGATGCTGCTTTGAAATTAAAAGTTAAGCTTCAAAACTTCGGAACGCACCTTGTATTCATATTATATGGATTTGGGCAGCATTTTTCGATTCTCATTGAGTGCTCCACGATTTCGGCCTTGCGCCACATCTAGGCTATGCTTAGAAAAACAGAGCACTTTGACATGGAGTAATAGTTAGCAATCTTATCTTGCCAGATTAATTACTACTAGGTAATCTAAAAAAAATTAATTGTAGTATTTCAATTTAGAATTTTTATAACACTTTGTGCTACAAACATTTAAGAAGTTTGTTGCTATACTCGTAGTTGAATTTATTTTTTTGTCGCAATTCTCTTATATAAAGGGCATACAAAATTTTAAGTTTTTGCTTACAATTAACAAGATGGAGCACTGATATATTTTCGAATAATATCATTCTAAACTGTGAATGTATACATGAGTGTATATTTAAATGTCCTGAGATTGAACTATGATCGTTCAAGTAAAAAGTAAGCCTTCTCGTCATCGTCGTTGTTGTAATAACAATGTCTGTATTAATATTTTTTGTGGGAGATGCAATCTACCAAAAGCCTTTAAAATTGATACACGATTTTGGTAAGACGTTAGTTGATGGAGAAGAGTCTTTTTTATGGATGATTAGGTTGGTTGTATTAAATTTAGAATAGTATATAATAAATTTTCCTTTTTTTTACATGGACCTGTGGGGATATATTAGTGTTTATAAGTCTTTTTAATTTTTTTCTTCCTGTGTACAGTAAGAATGTATTTCATTACGGTATTGTAGTTTGATATGTTTAGTGTTATTTGAGGACATATTGTTATATTTCCAATAACTTGTTTAATTTGTTTATCAACGATGAACAAATTAGACAAGCTATTAGACATGCATTTATTTATAATGAAATCTATCTGTATATATTCAAGTGTGTGTGTAGCAATTTCTCCCTAACTTTCTTTAAGTCATTATTAATGGGAACTTGTCTAACATTTTTAATTCAGTATAGAAAATATTTCTTGTTAAAGAGTTTGCTTTTTGCTCAGTTTATAGTTTTGTACAATATATTTTGTAATAGTTAGGACATTATATATATATATATATATATATATATATATATATATATATATATATATATATATAAGACATTTTTATGTTTATACATTTTTTATAGATACAAATATTTAAGTAAATGGTCTGTTTATCTATAAAAGAATGTATAAACATAAAAATGTCTTAAAATAATTGTCGGAACTTGTCCAATTCGTAATATATGGATATTCTCAAGGCATCTTCTTTATTTTTAATTTACCTGATGCATTTATTTATGGCAAAAAATCTATCTATCTATCTATCTATCTATCTATCTATCTATCTATCTGTCTGTCTATCTATCTATCTCTCTCTCACTCTCTCTCTCTCTCTATCTATCTATCTATCTATCTATATATATATATATATATATATATATATATATATATGAAGAAATATAGTCTTAAGGTCTGCTATATTTATGGGATAAAGTGCTCGATATCAGAGATAGCGTGTGTAAATATAAAAGTGAACATGAAGTTCAACACTTGCAGGCGACAGTCTGACGATTGCATATATATGCAATCGTCTGGACTAATTGTTGACTTATATGTTCACTTTCATATATATATATATATATATATATATATATATATATATTCAGTGTTATATATACAAATAATTCAAATGTACATACTTTTTCTATCCAGCCTCATATGTGCATAAGTGGAATTTTTAATATGTAACCAAGGACTCAAGACTTTGGATTTCTCGTCCATAAAGTTCTTGGCATCCGGAAATGTCTTAATTGCTAATTTTTCCTGTTAGCAGAGGTTGTAAATATTTTGGTTGTTGTAAAGCTTTGCTTTTTTAAAAATTATCCACCTTACTATCGAGTCTTGGTTGTTTTTTTTCTTTTAAATTCCACACATGGTTAGCTAGTTTGGTAGTGTACCTAAGTTTTACTAGCTTAAATGACGACCTATGATTGCCTACTTGAATATTCGAAAAATCTTATTAAATAAAAATGAGCTCTCTTTCAGGATTCAAACCGACTTCGATCTTTGCAGTTGTTGGGATCCTTCCAAAGGGTGCATAATTAGCTGTTTGATTTTAACAAAACTTGTTTGGACGAAATCTGGAGGTTTAATATATATATTCGAGGATAGCCGTCTACTCGGGCTGCTAACCAATCTCAATTGTAGAAGCTTGCATTTATGTGTATTCGACATCCACTGCAACTATGCAGAGCAGACCTTAATTACAGTTTCTGGGGAAGAGTGTGTTATCTAGTGTTATCAACAATTTGAATACTCAGGTCCACGGCTACAGCCACGATGACTTGTGATTTCGTGCTAACACAGCTATCGACGGCCCAGTTCCACTCACAAGGCTTGGATCAACCGGTTGTATGATCTTCCGGCATTCCCCAAAGGAGCCACACGCTCGGATCGACCTCTCCAGTCCGAAAACATAAGGAAATATCCTTCCTCACAAATCGACCATGGGGAGATTCGAACCTGTGTCTCATGGTTGCGAACGTTCTAACCTCTCGACCACCCACACACACACACACACACACACACACACACACACACACACACACATATATATATATATATATATATATATATATATATATATATATATATATATATATATATATATATATATATATATATGTGTGTGTGTGTGTGTGTGTGATTGACAACAGATAGAGACAGATAGATGAGAATATATATATATATATATATATATATATATATATATATATATATATATAGTGCCGGATGTGTATTTGTCTGTATATTCCAATTTTCCGTTTTCAATCTCTTCATGATTCCATTTCCACTGGCTCTGTGCTTTCTTACGGACAGTAGCATGAACGAACCAAACCCAAACGGATGATTTCGCTCCCACACGCGCACGGCGTAACGAACGGTCGCACTTGCAAGAACAAAGGCCCATTCCTCATTGAATGGCGAATGGCAGAAGAGAGAAAATGGTTAAGTGTGGCTTCACCGGTCATAACAATTCACTGTCTAAGTAGGTTCTTGGCTTTCACCTGCTACTGTCTTTTAGAAGTGCGAAGAGAAAAATACTCGTTGCCACTCCACTGCATATCAAAGCGCACTTACCCCACTCTACGGATATTCCCAAGGCATTTTCTTTTTTTTTAATTTACCTGATGCATTTATTTATGGCAAAATCTATATGTATATATCCATCTATTTTATCTCCCACTCTGACTATCTGACTATCTATCTATCTATCTATCTATCTATATTCTATTCATATATATCTCAGTCTTTTCCTATCTTACTTAACCGCGACTACGGATATTCCCAAAGCATCACTATTTTTTTAAAATTTACTTTATCTATTTATTCATTTCAATATCTATTTAATATCCATCTATTTATTCACATTTCTCTCTCTCTCTCTCTCTCTCTCTCTCTCTCTCTCTCTCTCTCTCTCTCTATCTATCTATCTATCTATCTATCCGAATCAATTCATATATATCTCAGTCCCTTTCTTATTTACCATCGACTACGGATATTTCCAAGGCATCATTTTCAAAAATTTACTCGACGTATTTATTTATGGCAAAACATGTCTGTATATATCCATCTATTTGTGCGTCTGGTTATCTATCTATCTATCTATCTATCTATCTATCTGTGCATCCCTTTCTTAAATTACTCTATAAGTACAAATCACTTTTAGTCTTAACAGACATGTTTTCCTTTTAGCAAACCTTCCATAATTCTCATCATTTACTATACATATATCTATCAAGTTTTGTCTATGTATATCTATCAAATCTTGTCACTGCTTAGGTGAAAGTTACATGTTTAAATCGAAAGCTTACGTTTGAAAACAACTCCCACCCTACCATCCCTTTTTATCCCCTGACCCGGTAGTCTCGTCGGGGAACCACGTGTACTTGCAACCACAGTAGAAGTAATGGATACGACTGGAATTCGAACTCAGCTCACGAATTGTCTTGAAGACACCTCACACCCTGTGACTTCTGTCTTACAGACAATAAGTCGCACTGGTCAATCGCTATTCTTCAGTCCACCAATTCTAATCATCTCTCAACATCCCTCCCTCACTATAGCTCCCTCTCTATAGTATATATATATATATATATATATATATATATATATATATATATATATATATATATATATATGAAGAAATATAGTTTTTAAGGTGTGCTATATTTATGGGATAAAGTGCTCAATATCAAAAATAGAGCATATGTAAATATAGATATACAGTGTAACCCGGATATAAGAGAAACCCGGATATAAGAGAGATTTTCTCTGGTCCCAAATTAGAGCCTGTGTTAATGTATATAAAATAGACCAAACCCGGATATAAGAGAAGCCCGGATATAAGAGACTTCTCCGGTCCCGACAACTCTCTTATATCCGGGTTACATTGTAAAAGTGAACATTAAAGTCAACACTCAGAGGCGACAGCCCTGACGATTGCGTCCAACATGAAACGGCCTGTCGCCTCTGAGTGTCGAAGTCAATGTTCACTTATATATATATATATATATATATATATATATATATATATATATATATATATATATATGGATGTGTATACTTGGGGTCAAAACGGTATGAATGTGTAAAAAGATAGGTTTGATACCATCAATACATTTTTAAGAAAAAAATGTTATCAGCAATGAATTTCTGAAGAAAATAATTATTATTTTTGAAAAATTAAATATTACCAGCGATGCATTATTACCACCATACTTTTTTGGAAAGACATATTACCAGCAATATATTTTTGAACAAAAATATTTCCCGCAATAACAATCTTGTTGGCAATAAATAATCCATTGAGGTTGATAGAAAGTTTTTAAAAAAATGTAGATATATGTAAAAGAAAGAAAGAAAAAGTAAAGAATTTTTACAAAAAAAAGTCAGCAATATGAGAAAAAAAAATTTAGTAAAGAAAGAATTAAAGAAAAAAAGGAAGAAAGAAGAAAGAAAGAAAGAAAGAAAGAAAGTATTTTTAAAAGATATAAAAAAAGAAAGAGTTTTTAAAAGAATGTAAAGAAATAACTGAAAGAACGAAAGAAAGGTAAGAAGGAAGCACTAAATAATTTTGCAAAAAAAGAAATATGTAAAAATAAAAAAAAATTAAAATGGAAGAAGAGAAAAAGGAGAAAAGAAGAATTTTAGAAAACAAAGAAAAGAAGAAAGCAAAAGTATTTTGGAATAAAAGGCAGTAATATTAGAAAGAAAGAGTTTTAAAAAGAAAATGAAGACGTAATAGAAAGGAAGAAAGAAAGAAAGAAAGAAAGAAGGAAAGAATGATATAATTAAAAAAATATATTCGAAATAATTTTTGAAACGATTGTGTAGAAATGTTAGAAAATAAGAATGTTAGAAAAGAAAGAAAAAAATAAAAAGAAAGAATATGTATATAGAAAAAAATAGACTAGGAATTCTGAAAACGAACAGAGGTATTACAAAAAATGAAAGCAAGGCAGACTAAGAAAAAAATGAAGGGAAGACAGTGACACACAAGTATAAACAAAAATAAAGAGACAGCTCCAGATATAGATATGCGTAGGTAAATGAAATATTAAAAAACTGATGTAAAAAAAAAGAAAAAAAAAAAAGGCCTTCATTGTAAGAAATGAAAAAGTTAGAGATTGTCACGTTTTATAGAAATACATGATCGTCTTAAGAGAAGGATCGAGGTATAGGAGTTAAGAAAGGGATGCCTTGCTTGGAATTATTCTCAATGAAACGCTCTGTTGGCAAATTTTATGGCCTGGATGAACGGTTCTGACACTTTGAGACAGATGGAAATCAACTAAAGTGATTTCATGAGAATCTAAGAGGCGAAAAGAAAGAATTCTTCTATTTATATTTGGAACGAAAGCGCGCAAAGTCTGATGGTGGCCCACTTGAGAAAGTGCGGCGTGTATCAGTAAACGCATAGCAGAAACTGCTTTCGCCAAAAGTGTTAAGTAGAAAAGGTTTTATAGTCACTCAAAAAGACGGGAATAACAAAAGGCTTGCCACCTAACAGACAAATCAAAAGATTTATTATTTTTATATGTTGAGTAGTGTGCATCTGTAATGGAGTGAGGTCGTGTGGAAAAGCAAAAGCAGAATGGTGTAAATTTGCTTATAAGAACACTTGTTTTTTACTTGGGTTCGCACATCGAAATAATTGCCAGAGGGAACGCACTCTCGATCTAGAATCTATCTTATCCATTTATGACACAAATTCTGTAACCCATTAGGTTCGTAGGGATACCACACGAAATGCAGATGCAGTCGCAATGTTTTGTCTTTAGCAATATAACATGGCAGAGCTTAATCCTCTCCAGGTTGCCTTGAATTGAGTCTTTTTCCTACTAGACCAGTTTCCACACAAAACTAGAGAACACAGTCTGGCCTACTATTCAACCTATAGCTGTAGGAGGGAGAGAAGAGATCGATTCATAGTTTCCTTAGGTTATTTATGCTTAAGTGAATCTAACGAACCCGACTTGAATTCGAACTCGACTCTCCGATTTCTCAATCCAAGCAGATATCCAACGTGCTTCCCACCTTTATAAGTCTACTATCCGTCCATACATCGCGCATTCCTGCCACATCTACTCTGGTGCTTCTGTTTTATATCTAGACATTCTTGACAAAATCCAATCGGTCCTGCTATGGCATCTCGGCTTCAGACAATTTCCTAGCGCCGTAAGGTTCCCTTTTCTATAAATATAAAACTCGACCTCACGAAGTTAAACACCGGCTTCATAATTTCACTGCTGAAATTTCTAGATGTAACCGTAAGTTCTATGCTAATAGTTTCTTCTCTCGCACATTTTGGTTGTGGAACTCTTTTCCGGACATTTTGGCTTTCTTGTCAACTACGATCTTCAAAAGTTTATAAACGTCATAATTTATCTCCTGGTAACCCGTTCTTTTATTGTCCTCTTTTGTTTATTTCAATTACAACCTAGTGGCTTTTATGATTTGCTTGGGTTTAAAGGATTCAAAAATTCTACAGGACGTAAAAAGTACTTTGTGAATATGGGAATGTAACAAAATCATTTATAAATGATCTCTTTTTTTCGTTTGCTTTATGTTATGAAGTAATAATCGGTCGATGAATTATTCAAGCTTCGTCATATCTCTATGTAAATAATAGTAAAGCTCTAATCTTGTATGCATGTGTTTTCCAAAGATACGGCATAATACCCGAACCAATACTGTATTATGAATCCCTATCGAGAGCCAAATTTCATTAAAATTAAACAAGTGGTTCTTGAATTAGGGAAGATTTTTTTTCTGTTTTTACGGCATTCTTTATAGGAAATTCCGTATTTCTTTTCGATACACAATCTCATATCAATCCGTGTATATAAACAAAAACTTACGTATTAATTCCTATTCTTTGGGTGTAAAACAATAAACATTCATACTACATTATGACATCAATAAATAAATTTAAATATGCATAACGCAACATATATTTATACAATTCCCTACACTGCATTAGAAATTTTTATAAACTACTTGAAAGGTGAAGAGACGATATGTTTCACATCACTTGATGGTAAATAAATAAATAGATGCACGCTGATTTGCTACCGTTATATATTTTGAAATAAACGTGAGGAAGATATAGTATGTATAATAAAAAATGTACTTATTATTTTGAAAAAGACTACAGCTTTTCTAAACTATCACAGCAATGTATTAACTATGTATTAACTCAATGTATTAACTATGACGCCAAGAGGAACAATAAACCTTCTTTTGAGGGGTTTAGTATTAAATATTAATTTTGTTTACAATGTACATTTTATGGAAGAAATTTATCTTTTAATGTAAAGAAGTGAAACATATATCTGTTGACATTGTAAAATAATTTGTTTTCCTACTTGAAATCGAGATTTATTTGCATTAAAGTGTTTTTAATGTTTTTCATTAGTTTTCGGACCGGGAAAATTACTATTAACTAATAATTAATAAAGCTCATACCTATTATTTTGAAAAGGAACTAAGCTTGATTTAAGATATTGCCCAACATTTGCATGCAATGTTTTAAGTATGAATACCAGTGGAACAATAAACCTTCATTTACGGTCGTTAAATCCAAATTAGAATGTGTAATTAATAATAAAAACGATAATACTGTTACCTCATCGTTTTGTATCGTGAACTGTTTTTAAATGACCTCAACGGGTTTATGGTGATTTAGTCCCATTCTACAAATTAAAATATGTGTAATTAAGAATACAATTGATGATATTGTTACCTCATTATTTTGTAACGTGAACTGCTTTTAAATGAAACCCAACAGAATTATGGGTGATCGAGTATAATCTCTAAGAGAAGAAGTTATTTATTTAATTTATTTAATCTAAGGAAGGAGATTAAAAGAAAAGTACAATTCAAAAGTCACTGATGCTTATCTCAATCAACAGGCAGCTTGAGAAGCGTGCATGGCAAAACGACAGAAACATTGAGATAACAACAACAAAGATGAAGATATTAAACCGAACATTAATAACGTAAATATTGATACCTCCTCATCCTAGAAATTTAGGCTAAAGACGATCAGGTGATAATAACAGCAAAGATGAGGATATTAGTCTGAATGTAAATTATGATAATTTCTCATCACCGAAATTCAGACGGAAGGTAATCATCTGATAATAACAAAAATGAGGGCACTAGTCTGTGAATAATGATAACTCCTCATCCCAGAAATTCAGAAGGCGATCCGGTGATAATAACAACAAAGATGGGGACACTAGTCTGGATATAAATAATGATAACTCCTCACCCCATACATTTAGACAGAAGGCAATCAGTTGATAATAACAGCAAAGATGAAGACACTAGTCTGAATGTAAATAAAGATATCTCCTCATCCCTGAAATTCAGACGTAAGGCGATCAGTTGGGGAAAGAAAGATGGGGATATGTGTCTGGATGTAAATAATTATAACTCTTCATCATAGAAATTCAGGCAGAAGGCAATCAGCTGATAACAACAACAAAGATGAGGATAAATAATGATAATTACTCATTCTATGAATTCAAGTAGAACAAAATATTTCATTAAAAATAATGACAAAGAATTGTTTGTAATTATTACTTCTTTATTTACATCCCCATTGCTGAGGGTCGGGGACTATGAACTATTGAACCCAAGCTCCCCACTGTCTCTATCCTTTCCCCTGGAGACGACCCTACATTCCGCGTGTGTTCTCCCTGTCCAATCTCGGTTATAATCAATTCAGGGTGATACTGAGTCTTTCTTTCATTCACCCGCTACCTATATCTCCATCCAGAATGTGGGTAGACAGGTTCCGGCCGTGATGATATCGTTAAAGTATTGCAGATTTAGCTTTCTTTTGGTTGTGACCAACTGCTTCTCCGTTACCCTCACCTCCAGGACCGACTCGTTTGATTCTGTGGTCCGTTCGTAAATATAACAATTATAAAAAGAAAACCAAATAGTCCAATCAATTTAGGATTTTACAGACACTAGAAGTCCTGCATTTCCCGCTGTTCGGGAGATTGGAAGTTTTGAATAGCGTGGACCATCTTAAATGCTGTTGTTCCCAGGTCCACGCTGACCCCAAGTGGTAGCACCTGTTAAGGTCCTAACTATGGGTACACTGTAAACCAACAAATAAAAACAAAACACTATGAAAGAATAAAAATACATTTTTTTTTAAATGAGCAACATTATATATTGAAAGCAAAATCACCAGCAATACATTTCATCTGTACTTGAAGGCATGGAATTGTGTTCAAAATAATTAGATTGAAACATTAAAGAACCCAATCAAACAACATGAAAGAACTCTTTCAAAACCCCAATCCATATAATATTCGACAATTCCTTAAAGAAATCAAAAAATTCTAACAGCATAACTTCAAGAAAAGTACAACATATATCACCGCCTGTAGTAATTATATCCACATAAACATGTATATGCACAAAAGCTGAGTATCATCTACCATGGATTCAATTGTGAAAGCAGAATAACATATATCATATTTTTATTATTTCAAGTTAGATTTGGCCATTAAATGATCCATAAGGAGTTATAGCGCTAAACAAAGAAACAAATACAATTACACACACACACACACACACACACACACACACATATATATATATATATATATATATATATATATATATATATATATATATATATATATATATATATATATATACCTATAATGATCTATATTTGAACCCAAGACACACACACACACACATATATATATGTGTGTGTGTGTGTGTGTGTGTGTGTGTGTGTGTGTGTGTGTGTGTGTCTTGGGTTCAAATATAGATCATTATGGGTCAGAATCCGAGAGTATGAGAAAGATAAAGAACAAATAGGAAACATTTGTCAATCTGACATGTTTCACTTTTATTAAAGCTTCATCAGAGAATAAGATATGCAGAAAAATAATGAAAAATATATATATATATATATATATATATAATGAAATGGATTAAGTCAACCAATTATTTAATATATTTCTGTTTATATGTTATTTTTATATATATAATTTATTTAAGTGAATGCTCTGTTTTTAATTAAACAGTATTAATTACATTTACCGGCCGAATGTTCGCAATCGAACCTGTATCCCTATACAGAATCCGTCACTAGATCTGACGTGCTATACTACTCAGCTACAGAGAAGCATCTGGTTAGCAAAGTCCAAATTTCTATTTAGGAATACAGGTTCCTGTTCGATTTCTTTCGTTATCCATCTGATGAAGCCATTATATTATTTTTTCGAAACACCATGAAAGTTTTTTCAAAATGTCAATAACTAATAACTCTGTCGGGATTACATACCCAAATTTATTATATATGTATATGAAAACGAGTGTACTGGAAATTGATGATAGCTTTCTCAAAATGGCACCGAAAGCAATACACGTATTTAAAAAGTAAAAAAACGTGAGGTTTGGAATTAGAGAAAAAAAAAATTCAAAACAAAACCGCGCCAAAACTTCTTTTTGAATTCTTGATGGCATTTCCTGTTTTGATAGAATCAAAAATTACCGAGTGAAATCATTTTTGTCTAAATACTGCTCATCTTTCCTCGTTATATTTGTCAATTGCCGCGCTCTCTCTGTAATCACATCAATCCCCTTCCGTTATTTGCGGTTTTTAGTTTCCGCAAACTCACGTACGTTTAATAAAAATTCCTGCCCTTTGTATTTGTCCAACTAACATTTTACGCTGCGTACATCCTTTCGTATGTCACGTACACACATTGTTTTTCAGCATTTCATTGTAGTATAGGGAAGAGGAGGGTCTAAACACTAAATTTGGGGCGTTGCCCCAATAGCGGCATGAGTTGGTCAGCGAAATTGGATTTTTTTGGTAATGCTTTTTTATATATATATATATATATATATATATATATATATATATATATATATATATATATAAGCAATCGAAATTTACAACAGATTTTCTCTGTTTTTCGTAAGAATTCTTTGCCTATCTTTTGGTCTGGTGCGCCTTTTAACAAATCAAGATAAGTTTATACTAGTATACCATCTGCTAGGTACGAAAGGAAGAACAATTCGACAAGAAAAAAATATCAGGAAAAGGAAAGCAAAGATTGGTTCGATGGTTGATTTCATATAGCGGCATATCATTATCTCTATGGGTTATTTAATGGCGAAATCTAAATATTTTTACTCAATGTTATGGCTTCAGCAACATATATTTCGATCACAATTTCATGCCTTTGGCTCAAGCTATTTTGTACATGCTATGATACTTTACGGAAAAAAAACATACGTTTTTCAAATATATAATTTGTAGTTGATAAAATATATTGTTGGTAATATTTTTATAAAATGTATTGTTGAGAATTTACTATTTACATTACTTACGTTTTTTGTTTTTTTCGGACTGTTATCCTCATCTTCATTGCCATATTCACAACTTTTCGGACGTTGTAAGCTCCGGCCTTCTTCCAGTGATTAAAATTCGAACCGAACGCTTTATTTCGTCCACCGGGGTAGATTGATCTATTTCCACGTGCCATACCTCTTCCGTATGTCTCATTCCTCAAGGACACATGGCTGAGTAGAGAAAGACGTAGTTTAGATCCAGTGACTAGACACAAATATTTGTGAAACCAATACAAGGCGACAGTTAAAGGGAAATAACTGAGACATCTTCACTGCCATATAGGATGATTAATATTTTAGGTGAATAAGATTTAAAAATACGAGTTGTTTATAGAGTAAATATTTCTATTTTAACTTTCTTCAAACAGATATTTTTTTTAATTAAAATAGTTTTAAGTTAAAGAAAGACACAAAGAGATTCCGATTTGCTGTTTCTTCCAGTTGTTTTAGAGTAATTATTTATATTTCAGTTTTTTTTAAACAAACAATATTTTAAATATTTAAAAATTATTTTTATGTTAATCTGATTTTGAAAAAATATTTTAAATGAATAAGATTTAAAATACGAGTTGTTTATGCAGTATTTTTATTATGACTCTCTTCAGACAATTTTTAATTAAAATATTTTAAAGTTGAAAACAGAGACAAAATGGATCTCAATTTACCGTTTCTTCCAGTTGTTTGTAGAGTAATTATTTATATTTCTGCTTTCTTTGTCATATTTAAAAAAATATTTTCAATTAAATATTATTTTAAAATATTTTTGACATATTAAAAACTATTTTTAAATTAATCTGATTTAAAGTTCAAGTTTATCCCAGAAATTCTATAAAATGCTATAAACAATCAATAAAAGGTTAAACAGGAACATGTAAACAAGACCAATGATGGAACGAATTGAAATATTTAATTGAATCATAATAAAATTAACTTTCATTTCAATGAAATGTTGAAATGAATTTCAATGTTTGTCTAACCTGAACCGTCAGTGACCCAACGGGTTACGACGGGTAATCTAGTTTATATATAAATATAGTGCTAGTAATTTCAAGACAAACATTTTTTCGGGGGGGGGGGGTTACTATAAAAATTTATTTTATACTTTCCTACAAAAAGTATTAAAGGAAAGCAAGAAGAAAGGACTAAGCATCAATTCAAATAAGACAAAATGTTTGACAGCCAAAGGACCAATCCAAGATGCGACCTACGAATTGGATTCACTAAAATCAATCAAGTGCAAAAATTTAAATATCTGGGAAGATTTTAACGAAAAATGCGACACCGAATTCCGAAGACGCATTGAGATAGGGAAATATGCCTTTCTAACGTTAAGCAAAAATTATTTCGAAAAAAGAAAATTTCGTAAGAAACGGTACAAAATAGTGCTAGACTTTTATCTAATATCGGCCCTCTTATATGGCAGTGAATGCTGGAAAATCTCCTCAAAGATGAAGTGGCTTGAAGCAAGGGAAACAAAGAATAGAGTACTGAACTGTTATATCCGCCTATATGGCAGTGAATGCTGGACAATCTCCTCACAGAGGAAGAAGCGACTTCAAGCAAGAGAAACAAAGCAAAGTGTACTGAACTGTTACGTAATATCAATCCTCCTATATGGCATTGAATGCTGGACAATCTCCTCACAGATGAAGAAGTGACTTGAAGCAAGAGAAACAAAGAAAAGTGTACTGAACTGTTATGTAAGATCAGTCCTTTTATATGGCAGTGAATGCTGGACAATCTCCTCACAGATGAAGAAGAGACTTGAAGTAGGAGAAACAACGAAGAGTACTGAACTGTTATGTAATATCAATCCTCCTATATGGTAGTGAATGCTTTATAATATCGTCAGCGATGAAGAAGAAACTTGAGGTGATAAAAATTCGGTTCTATAGACGGATGCTGAGACTACCATGGATTGGACATGTGAGCAACAAATATGTTTTCGAGAAAATGGAAATAAAATGGATACTTATATTTAACATCCATTCTGTCAAACGTAATGGATGTTTTAGGAGAAGTACAAAATTTATTAAGAGCTGCAAAGAACAAGAATTTATGGAAAAACATGTTCGTCTACGTCGCATAAAGAAAAAATACAATAACATCAAAAATAGTTGAAATGTCTGTGACAGATAGTGAGGAAAGTGGGCTTGGAAAAAATTATAGTTACTGGAAATATTTCAATATGGATCAGAAGAAAACAGAGCAAATCTTGTTAACGAGTTTGTGTAAATGGATATCAGAAGAGGGTTTAGGAAATATAGAGAAAAGGTAGAATTTATAAGAGTTACCAAGGATGGGAAATTGTGGAAAACCGTAATCCCCTACGCTGTTTTTTTAATACATCACTCTCCCACGAAAATGCTGATGATTGATGAAAAAGAATCGGGACAGGTGCTACAAAAAAGAAAATATATCAATTCGGTATATAATCTGTTTTGATGGAGTCCCCTACTGAATTCACACACGTTATCCACTCGTTCCCATTGATGGAAGCATTCCTGTGGTTTGGGGGATAACGAA